AACAAAAGCTGCAAGGATTTAAAAATTTCGAGTTTAAAAACTACGACTCCGCGTCGTCTCCCAAATAACTTTCTCGAGCAAGGTCATTCGAGTTACATTATTGAAGAAGAATCTCGATATTCGTCAGGGAGATGGACAGCGGCAGTGGAGCAAGGTTTTACTAAGTTATATATCATTTAAGCCAGTATTATTTAATCATTTCTAACGATCATTGATCACAAATGTTTCTCAAAAATTCAAAAGAAGAGCGTGAAAGTAGTCTAGAAGAAACAAAAGCTGCAAGGATTTAAAAATTTCGAGTTTAAAAACTACGACTCCGCGTCGTCTCCCAAATAACTTTCTCGAGCAAGGTCATTCGAGTTACATTATTGAAGAAGAATCTCGATATTCGTCAGAGAAATGGACAGCGGCAGTGGATGTTTCTCGAAATTTAATTCCGCGCGCCGTTCATAAACAAGCGCAACAAAAACGGATTATGCACGACCAAGTGTTTATTTTTCGCGGATGTGCGCGCGACGTCATCCAGGGCAGCGGCGGCGGGGGCGGAGGGGCATGCGGTTTCCTGAATACGTGCCTGAAAACGGTCGTGTTGCTCGCAGCATGCCTGCCAGCCCTTCTTTTGTGCCCTTTGCATTTAGGTAACTTTAATTATTCGCCGGGAAAAGTTCCTTACAAGTTTGAATAACTTTATAAGCAACTCGGCTACGGAATGCCCGCAACGCCCGCGACCCCCGAGGGGCCGGAACCGCGCGCCCTGCCCGGAAATGAAAAATTTTTAGAATTACCGTGTCGGCTTTAAACGGCCGTAATAAGCGTTTACGTTTAAAGCAGAGCTGAACACTCGTGTCAACTACGTGTCTGCACGCATACGTATTGATCCTTTTTTTTTTTTTTTTTTCATATCTGTGTAGAATAGAATACAATTGGCATAATACAATGCATACAGGATGGGTTACCACATATTGCCATTTAGATTTACGTCGTTATCGTTACACGAAGCGTCAAGTTGAATGGTTTCGAGTAGGGCATACATTTTGGTGATATACTGGTTTTCTTGTAGGTGGACGTGTAGAGGGCATACGAAGGTCATTGACGTTTCTTTAAACGGAATCATAAATTTTTTTATTACATCAGTTGGTGAACCTTGATATTCTTTACAAGAAAGAATTAACCTATTTGTGTTAGAAAAATCATTAGTTTAAGAGATATTTTAATTTTAATGTTGTTAGGAAATAAGACATCAATGGCCAATATGAAAGATCGTGTCATCACTGAGTGTAATAAAATAACACTAGGTACATTACACGATGTGAGTGAATTATCAATCTATCGATTGAGAAATGTCGTGATGTAAATGGTGGTCGCATTGAACCTTTTCTGTAAATAAAATCATTACAACATTAACAAAGAGGTCATGATTTCCTAGCACCATTAAAATTAAAATATCTCCTAAACTAATGACTTTTTAACATAAATAGATTAATACTTTTTTGTAAAGAATATCAAGGTGCATCAAGAAATCCTACAAGAAAATCAATATCATCAAAATGTGCCCCTCTCGAAACCATTCGACTTCATCTGAAACATTTTTCGCGTTGTAATAATGACGTAAATCTAGATGGCAATATGTGGTGACCCACCCTGTATATACATACGCACACACACGCATACACACACATGTACTACGACGTTCAGATAGGCGAATTCACTCGACAGAAGTCGACTCGATTCTTTTTTTTTTTTTTTTCTTTTCTTTTTTATGTTTTCCTTCGTTCTATCAATTGGAAACACATGATCCTTCGTACCCGCATGCATAAAACGCAATTAGGAAACGCCTAGTCATTGATGCTGTTTAATTGCTCATGTTTCCACTGGGCGATAATCGTGGTATCACGTGTAGACGGGGCAAGGGAACGCAAATGAGAGGGAATTCATATAATTGTATCGATATATGCAATAATCCGACCGTGAAACAAACTTCCGCGCGTCGCGCGTCGACGAAGACTATCGCGTCGCGTATTGATTCGGTAATTTTATCACAACTTTGTCGCATCGAGCTTGAAAACACTGAAATACCTTGTACTTGTCATTACTCGTCAAACGGAGCGTGATCACGGAAGTTCGAAGCGTGAAACGAGCCTCTGCATGTTTCAAATATCGAATGCACGCATCAAATGTTTACTCGAACCGTTGAAACGCAGACGAGAAACGCAACGCAGTTCGAGTGATCGCGCGATCTTTTCCAGACACTGGCAGAGACTCGCCGCCGGAACCAGCGCCGCCGGAAGTGCCGCCGCGTGGCCCGTCTCTGCACGCCACGCACACGCTACGCACGCAGCAAAGTCGAAACGGCTGTCCACCGAACACCACAGGGAACTTTACCGTGCCAACCGAACAGATGCAGTCGGAGAAGTATTCGGGTAAGTACACAATTGCACGTTGCACTTCTTCAATCGCAGGTCGAACGAAAAGTTCGAAAAATTTTCGCTCGTCGATCGTCCATTTATATTACCATCGAACATTAATACAGGCATTAATACTTGACCCTTTCAACTCGATTCGATTCCAATGTTGCTGTGCGTCCACTTTGCATTTTAAATTAATTAAACGAATGTACAACGATAAGAATTCAATGTCTGTTTATTTATTTATTTATCGTCATAGTGTAGAGCGGAAAGAAAAGTTTTTCTATGGTTATCATAGATGTATTCTACACCTTCGATTGAATGGAAATACTAAATAGTGAAGAATCTGTCGAAAAATTAACTTTGATCTTAGATCTCGAGGTCAAAATTTTTTTTTGCATTGTATTCTAATTATCACGAAGGTAAAACTTTTCCAAGCAATCATAGGTCGCAACCTAATGGTTCTCTTGAAAAATGGCAAAAAAGTTTCTTAGTCAGTTAACACTGCGGACGCGTGAGTCCTGACAGCGACTTTATAATTCTGGACGTAATGTTTATACTTCAAGTACTATTAACAGTTAGTTTTATCCTTTGATTATTTAGATTATTTCACACTAATGCTACAACTATGACAAATCAAATAAATATCCACGCGTCCAGAACCATAAAGTCGCTGTTAGAACGCACGCGTCCGCAGTGTTGAATGACTAAGGAACTTTAGTTTCATTTTTCAAAAGAAAACTGACTGTGATTCCCTCGAAAAGTTTTCCTTCGTAATGAGTGAAATACAATGCAAAAAATGAGAAAAAATTTTGACCCTGAAATTCAAGATCGAAAATCGAAGGCGCAGAATTCACGAAACAAACTTTCCTTTCCACCCTGTGCAATCTATTTTTTATAATTTTCCTGATACAATTTCCAAATTTGCATTTATAATGTGGCACACGAATTCAAATGGTGAAATGTCGTTTTATAATAACAGCACCAACTTGTTTGTACACCAACGACTTCGAATTCTGCGCGATTAATTTATGTACGTCGGCCACAAAGGAACATTCAGCGTGGCAATATCGCACAGCGAACCAGCCCCCTTCGTCCGTGTTCACGCATGTCGATCGCTGACGCATCGGATCAACCTCCTACGCGATTACTCGGAATTAATTAGGGAACGGCTGACGAAGTGCACGCGTCGGCAGCGTTCCTCATTATATCCACGGCCCTTCGACGCTTTATTGAATTCTCGGTGATACATTACCGATGCAGGCCCTTCGATTATGAAAATTTTAAAAAAGATAAAATCACCGAGCGAGGGGCGAGCCGAGCCGGCGCCCGCGGGAACTCCAGACGGCGGAGGAGGCCGTCTTCCCGTGTTCGAACGGAACGGAACGACGGAGCTCCGAGTGAATTTATTAAAACTGATTACTATTTAATTCGTCATCCGCGAACGAGAAAACGGATCGTCGGCGAAACGTCGTGAAAGTAAGTTGCAGTAAGATGGAACGGCGCCTCAAGTTCCTTGGGGTGGTTGTTTTATGAACGAGGCCGGATCTGGATTTTCGCGAGAGATTATTTTTTTTTAGAAAACTACGACTGTTTCTCCATAATTATCTCTAAGTCATGTTTTTACTTTCTCGACAGTAGTTGAATAATTCAAATATGAAGATATTGCGCGTATCTAATTCCAGCACTAAACTTACTACGACCAGCCAAACGACCGTTTAGAATAATACCTGTATTATTGGTTATTACACTGCTTCGTAACTTTTGTTATAGTATACGTATGCAATGAATCTTTCAATATTCGCTACTTTGCTTATTGTTCTTTTTTTTTTTTCTGGGAGAGAGAAACGTAGTCTGTCTTACCTGCCACCACCGATCGTTCAACCGATTTATATTCTTTGTACTAGCATTCTCTCGAATACTCGACTCTGAAACTATACAAAATCGTTACAAATGAAGGGTAATGCAATGCGTTTAGCTTTGAAAACTAAATGCGATAAAATTATATGCATTCGTCGCACACCTACATGCACGCAGCGCATAAAATATGTTACATCATATCTACAAATATCGAGCGAAAAATGTGCTCCAGCAAACTACGAGTAGAAACACACTTTGCACAAATTACGAGGTTTATTTCGTAATGATAACAGAAATCGACGAAACCATCGCTTACAAACCGGTAAATTATACGAGAACTGGAAAGTTACAACATAGTTCTAATCTATTATGTCGGTATTATTTCAACGCCAGATGCGCACCCTACCAATATTAATACCGATATATTCGCGAAGAGAAGGAAGATCGGTTATTGTCCGCAGTGACCTTGTTACCTGACGGAGCGTATCATCGGAGCTGGCCGGAAAATTCGCGGGGGAAGGTGGGGTGGATTCGGGCTCGAGATAATGCGGTTCAGTTTTCAACGGAAAGTGTTTAATTTCGGCGCGCGCGCGCCCGCGCGCACGAGCCCTCTCTGTCCCGGTTATGGTGGAGATGCGAGATCGCTGTACGCTGTACGCTGCGAAATCTGTTTAAACTAATGGCGAGCAGTCCCGGGGATTTTGCATTAACGCCCCCGTTAATTCATTGTAAATATACCCGGTGTGTATTCGTTTCTCTATATTTCTATGTACATACCATTAGTATATTGCTCGACGACTAAACATCGTTTGTACCGCTGGCAGCAACGCTCCCCCTCCATCGCCTCCTTTTCCCCGGTTCCCGAATATTCCACGTAACACACGCGCGCGCCCTCTCGAGCACTCCCCTCCCTCTCAGCTCGATCGCCCTACGCCGTGTTGTATGCGCGATTTACATACTACCGCGTTCGATTCACGTTTACCGATGCTATAAACACTTCTACGATAATAGGAACGCGGTATTAACCAGCCGTGGTTATCGCCGGTCATTAATCATCCGACGCTGCCTCTGGAGACGATATTTTCCAATGTTCGAGACCGTGTTAAAACGTGTTTACAGGACACTCGATCGACGTCACCGGCAGTCGATCGAGTTTCCATCTTCTCTCCGTCCCCCACACCTCCCCTCGCCCGCAGCTCCCTTTACAGCTTTCACGCTTGCCGGAACGTTGCGTTGAAGGATAAAGTTTCGCGTCTGCCGCGACAACTAAAAGTAGCGCGCGGATGGAGTGACGAGTTTGCCAATCCCTTACGAATTATCGCCCTCCGCTTTCCAGAAGGATTCACCGTGACGAGAGAATATCCACGACGGCTGAAAATATGCGAGCGTGTCGTTAAACCCTCGAGTTTATTTAACCCTCTCGCTACCGCAGTGTTTGAAACGCCAATGGTTCGAACTGTTGAACTGCTTCTTTATAATAAAAAATATATTTATTCAAAGAATACAAGTTACAGCGAGCACTCGCGTACGCAGTGATGAATGATGAAATATATTATATAATATGATTAAGAATAAAACGAATAAAAAAAGAAAAAAACATGTGAAATCCGTGGAGTCACGCCATTGCTCTAACACAAGCGTATAATAACACAGGCACACCGCACACATTCGATGTCGTTGTCCTCCAACACAAATAATTTTTGTTTCTTACAAAATAAAACATTTTTCAAGGAACCACAGGTCACAACTTATGGTTCTCTTGAAAAATGGCGAAAAAGTTTCTTAAAATCATTTAATCTAAACTGTGGGACAGCGTGCGTTCTAACAGCGACTTTATAATAGCCAAAGGCGCAACTTGAGATGTTTCGATGTGTTTGATTTAGTAACGTTTCCTACGCCAATTCACTCGTCTCTCGAATTTTATACAAGCAGTACATACATAGCTCACAGTTTCACTTAATAGCGTATAATTGTGTTGTTTTTTAAAGAAAATATATGATTTTGTTCGTGCGTCAAATCGACGCGTGTCCGTAAAGATAGGCATATAAAAAAATGTCCGTAAATCTAATGTTAAACAGTACAGACGCTACATACGCACGCTAGCAAAGTTTCCATCTTCAATCGAAAGTTTGTTCCAGTCGGACATTTTATCTTTTTCACTCGTGCCGACGGAATGCCAATTTCATGCGATCGCAAGCCGTTACGTTTAATTATGTTCGAAATGTGTATCTTTTTTTTTCTCTCTCTTTTCCTTTTGCACGATACACGCTTTCATCAATTTCGCCGTTCTGCTTTTTATCCAGCGTTTAACCACCGCGTATCGTATCTGGTGTATCGATTTACCTTCAATTTTTATCACCCCGGTAGGCAAATGATCTTTCGTATATTATATAAATAACGTAGCCGCGTTTTTATCAAGGCTCGCCTCCTACGTAACCGCGTGCGCGCCAAGAATTCTTGGACATCTTTTTCCGCGTGCCTCGGGTGGGTTTTCATGTCTGGATTTATTAAAAAAAAAAAAAAAAAAAATACGACAGACAGAAAAGAAGGGAGAAGCAAATTACCACCGGTTCGATGCACCTGTATATTCTTCGCGTGCTTGCCACGATCGAAAATGGAAAAGCAACATCGTTGCTGGAAAAACAGGCCATAAAAGAGATTATGAGCCCGTGGTGGTAACCGCCGCGTGGCGTTTAACCGAACGCGATTGTTTCCGGTCGCCGGTGCGAAGCAATACGAAACGATTGGCTGGCTTCTATCTGTATTTTCCTAGAATCACCGGAATTTTACGGGGGCTGCCGGGGTTGCCCGTTGGTTTGTGTACCGTTTGGGCTCGGCTCAGTCGGTCCGCTATGTTTACACGCGAATTTATAGTAATGCATTCTCGATAAGCCGTATCGCTTTAACGGACCGCGAAGCTTCATTGATTACTGCGATCGTTCCATCCGCCTGGAAAAAGAAAAAAAAAGAGAGAGAGAAAGAGAGAGAGAGAATCGATAGGCGTCTATTGTCGGCCTTGTTCCTTGTTTTTATGCCCCTTCGAACGGCGGAGCGAAAGAAAAACCGAACGACGCGTCGTTATCGTCGCCTTTCGTTCGCCCTCGATGAAACAGATACGCGAAAGTGCAAACGACCTTGCTCTTTCATTTTGCTTCTGAAGAAAACCTTCGTCCCCTTCGTTTCGTGTCCTTGTCGAGTATAAAGAAATAGCATACTTTAAAAAAATTATTAAACTTCTTTCTGTCGAACAAACCATTCCTCAAACACGCGTTCTTCACAAGTACCATAAATTACAGTCTTTCCAGTACGTTTTGTACGTGTTATTGAAGAAAAAGAGAAATAGAAATATGGCAATAACAAAAGGAACGAGTTCGATAATCGTTAATACGATTTCGTTTCCATTTAATAAACGCAGTCATTCTTCGAAGCAAATGTTTATATAGTTTCTTTAATAATTGTTTGAAATGGTTCTCCTCCAGGATACATTTTTTTTAATTCATCAATATTTGCGAATTGTCTTCCATTCTGGTATCCGGAATTTTCCGAAGCCAAATTCTCTCAATTAATTTTTCATAATATTTAAATCCAGAGAACTTGGCCGGCCACTCGAAAAGACCAATCTTTTTGTTTGCACAGTATTGCAGTACCTATCTCCGGCAATTCGTGTTAATTTATTTGTCAATCGTTTTAGTATTCTTTTCACTGTTTAATTTCACTGTGAACAATTTTATTTTCATCTTACCTTAGTAACCGATATCTCTTCAAGTATACAGTCAGAAGTTGTTACCCCTTTCTTAAATCATGATAATAACAGTGGAGGCCAAATTGAACTTCTTTTCATCGTAAAATATGCCACCTTCACCTCTCCGCCTCTTTCTTATTCATACACGTTCCAACAGCAAGTTGTAAACGGTACAGATTATGCTCTTGCTTCAAGAAGATTTTTGTCGCAATTTTTGGTCGTTCGCGGTCGGTAGTGGATACGCGTACGCATATTCGGAAATATGGGATCGCAAACGGGAGAGAGCGGCATCGAACAGTGTCATAATCGCGGCCGAGTGAAATTGAAGCGCGGACGTGGCGTTGCGCGCAATGGCGATCGAAAAATCGCCGTGTTTTTCGGAGCTAATGCCGCGCATTACGAGACAGTGACTAACTGACGCCACACACGTCATATAGGTACAGCAGAGAGAGAGAGAGAGAGAGAGAGAGAGAGCGAGTATACCGAATGGCAATTCTTGCGTGGACAATAAAGCGACACTCGCCTCGAATCGACCAGCGGCCCCTCCCCTCTCTTCTCACTCGCACTGCCGCCGTTTCCCAACCAGTAATCAACTTCAGCGGGCCGGTGTATACACGCGCCGAATTATACACGCGCCGGGTAATTTTTACTGTTTTTTACGGGCTCGGCAACGACGCGACAATAACGTCGAAATCCTTTTCACGCACGGTGCTCGCGCATCGAATGTCAACGAGCGCTTTCTGACGGCCGCGGCTGACCCTCCCCCGCTTCAAACCCTCCCGCCACCCATTCGTGGACATCGTCTGTGTATTGCACTTTTGCCGCGCCAGTTAAGCGGCGTTTATTGCGCGATCAACGCAACAATCCCTCCCGACTGGTAAACTCTGTTTAACCCCCTGTCAACGGTCTTCTACGCTCTGCGTTACCCTGTAACAGATGGCCCGAATGATGCCGCGTATGTGCCATTAAATAGGTACCATTAAACGACGTTACACTGGCTGAAACCGCGATCGAACATTCTTCGACCGATTTGTTTCTCGACCTCTTAGCTGTGATGACACTTTTAAAAGTGTTTGTGTGTGTATACGTTAGGGGTGTGCGGGTGCCCGATATTTCGGCTTCGGGTCGGGTCCCGAAAATTTGTGATACTCGGGTACCCGAAAAATCTATAATATTATTAAAATAATAATATAGGGATAACGGCGTTGTATTTTTTTATAGATCTTATAGAAAAAAATGATTACGACCTCGATGTTGAATTAAGATAAATTTTAAACGTAGAAGTTTAATAATTAAGTCTGTTCGACTTTTAAAATCTTACATGATTTGAGTTCAAATCGACGTAAGTCAGATTGGTTTCTATCTATAAAAATATTTAAATTATTTGTATGAGAGGACTATAATTTATAAATTATTTATATATATATTAATGAATATTTATAAATATTATTTTAACATATTATTGTTTTAAATTTATAATTTAAATAAAATTATATAAATTATAATAAGTAATAATTATATTATATTAATTATATTAATAGTTATATTAAGAGTTGCATTTTTAACTTTATTTGAACGAAAAATTTTAAATTATATACAAAATCGAAAAGGTTTCTAATAAATTATTATTTAAAGGTTTATTTCAACCTTTTAGTGATATGTTAAAATTAACTTTTAAAGAAATATTTTATTTAAGATTAAATAAAATATTTTATTATAGAT